ATATATATATATATATATATATATATATGTATGTGTGTGTGTGTGTGTGTGTGTGTGTGTGTGTGTGTGTAAAGGCTTTATAAACCCTGCCTACACTCTTGCAATATTCTAAACAATGTTTCTAAACACTAAACACTCTAAAAGAGAACAGCATGTCATGAGGTCTGCTCTCTGCCACTTGACCCTCTCTGCCACGCCCATTTCTCTGCTGCAATGACACTGATGCTGATCAGCAGTTTCACTCCCAATCTCCCTCCTTCTGTGTAAATTAACAATTTAAATTTAAATACTGTAATGTTTTAAATACACAATCCATGCTTCATGAGCAGCAATGCTTATTTTAAATTATCAAGCGCGACCGGAACATGAGCTGACCCGGACGTGTCAGCTGGGCAGAAGAAGCAACATTTAAAAGAGAACCGCTTTCTTTTGTTAGGAGGGAGACCTGTAAATTGAAACAGGAGTGAACAAAAATACTTGTTTAAAGTTTTATCAGGAGGAGAAAGTCAGCTGTCACTCAAAGAGCTTGATCACCGGTGGAGAATTCGAAGCTGCAATGACATCAGAGGGAAAGGAGCAATGAACGGATGGATCACATGATATGTGAGCGAAAATCCGACAAACACTTCAGAATGTGGAGCTTGGTTCTTAGAGTCCCGGGTCTGACTTTGTGGTAAAAAATACAGACGTGGGTCATTCACACAGAGGCAGGAAAGCAAACCTTATCCGAGGGTTTTAGCTGGAATTGGTGGTCTGAAGGCAAAGCGTACATGGAGGTCCAGATATCCGATAGGCAGAAGGATCCGTCTTGGGTGAGGCAAAGGGGAGGAATCCTTGTTTGAAATTGGTCAGGAACAGAGCAGGAACAAAAAAGCTGAATTACTTCAGGAATGAGGCAATCAGACAATCTGCAGACACTGGGGAGCGTTTAAGAAGCGCAGCACACACAAAATATATAAAAAATAAATAAATAAAAGCACAGCACAAATAAAAAAAATAATAATAATTTAAATTATTTAACACCTGCTGCAGCAGGTTGGAGTCACAGGCCATTTGGAGCATCAGGACATTTCCCAGTGACCTGGCCATTTGCCAAAGGGGACTAAAGGCTCGATTCCAGTTGCGATTCATCATTTAAAATTGTCATAAACGGTGCTTTAAAGGTTGAACCAAATGGTGCAGGCAGGACACTGAAGACTCCAGAATGTAAAATAAATATAATTTATTAAATAAACATGCTTCCGAGGCAGCAAAGCTCACATTTACAGGCAATCCTGGGAAACACAGAGCAAGGTGAACATGAAGAGACAATAACCTGTTAACGAGAAACAGTAGACGTACACTTATATACAAATACTAATGAGACCTAAGACACAGCACCTGTGAGGCATTACAGGTGTGGGAAGCAGGGGGTAATCATAACAGGGAGAACAGGACAGAAACATCACACAGGAGAGCACAATACTCACGGTACCCCCCTCCCTAAAGATGTCCCCTGACATCCAAAAAACACTTCCCCAAAACTTGCATGAGAGGGAGGGGGCAACCATGAGGATGGAGGCCACAAGGGGACACAAGAATGAAACAACAAAACCGACAGGACAGAGCCTGGGAACTAGACACAGAGAGGGCAAATGGGAAAGAGGTTAATGGGACCATAGTTCAGGTGGATGACCGGGGGACCCTCCATCATGGGACCATAGGCACAGGGCACCAGATCCTGTGGGCAGCCGATGGTGAATGACACCCTAAGAGACCATGACCGCCCAGCGTGGGGAAAGAGGACTGGAGGGACCATAGGTTCTGGTGCGGGAACCAGGAGGACCTCAGCTGTCACAGAAGCTAGAAAAGCTCTAGATAACGATGAGCCCAGGTATACTGCAGCTGTAGCCATGACCTGGGAAGCTGTAGATGACGGTGAGCCCAGGGATACTGCAGCTGTAGCCGTGACCTGGGAAGCTGTAGATGATGGTGAGCCCAGGGATACTGCAGCTGTAGCTGAGATCAGGGAATCTGCAGATGACAATGAGCCCAGGGAGACTACAGATGTTATTGAGATTGCAGCTGGTGTAGAGATTTCAGGAGCTGCAGTTGGCATAGGAAACTCAGGGGCTGTAAGCGGCGTAGAAGCCTCACAGGAAGCTGATGGCGTAGGAGACACAGGTGCTGCTGCAGGGGGCATGGTCACTTCAGGCACTGCAGCAGAAGGCATGGCCACTTCTGGGACTGCGGCAGGAGGTGTGGCCGCTTCAGGTGCTGCAGCAGGAGGCGTGGTCGCTTCTGGGAAGGCAGCAGGAGACGTGACCACTTCTGGGACTGCAGCAGGAGGCGTGGCTGCTTCTGGGACTGCAGCAGGAGACGTGGAACACTCATGATGTGGATGGACCTTCATGGATGTAGAGACCACCTAGGGAGCTGCTTTGGTAGCTTTGAGACAGTCTGTGGTCGTCGAGGCATCTGCGGTCGTCGGGGCATCTGCGGTCGTCGTGGCGTCTGCGGTCGTCGAGGTGTCTGCTATCGTTGAGGCGTCTGCTATCGTTGAGGCGTCAGAAGTCGTTGAGGTGTCAGCAGACACTGGACCCTCTGCAGCAGACACCGGACCTTCTGCAGCAGACTCTGGGCCTTCTGCAGCAGTCTCGACCTTCTGCTACAGACCCTGGACCTTCTCCAGCAAACTCTGGACCTTTTGTGGATGAGTAGTAATGAGAGGCGTCCTGGGCCCTCTTGCAGACGCCAGGAGCAGGTGTGTCTGGTAGGCTCAATGGTGGCACAGGTGAGTTGGAGGTGGATGAAACAAAGATTTGTTCTTTAGAAGTCTTTATTTTGTTGAGCATTTGGAAATACTCAGGGATCTGAATGAGTCCAGGTATAGATAGTACCAGTCTCTCAGCGACAAAGTAAGTGAACTTACTTACTGTGAAAAATCACTGGGAAAAAAACTGGAAAAAAAAAAAAAAAAGAAAAAAATT